TATGTTTGGCTAATTCTTTCTATTTTTTTTTTTTTTTTTTTTGAGACAGAGTCTCGCTTTGTTGCCCAGGCTAGAGTGAGTGCCGTGGCGTCAGCCTAGCTCACAGCAACCTCAAACTCTAGGGCTCAGTGATCCTTCTGCCTCAGCCTCCCGGTAGCTGGGACTACAGGCATGCGCCACCATGCCCGGCTATTTTTTATATATGATATCAGTTGGCCAATTAATTTCTTTCTATTTATAGTAGAGACGGGGTCTCACTCTTGCTCAGGCTGGTTTTGAACTCCTGACCTTGAGCAATCCGCCCGCCTCGGCCTCCCAAGAGCTAGGATCTTTCTATTTTTAATAGAGACGGGGGTCTCACTCTTGCTCAGGCTGGTCTTGAACTCCTAAGCCCAAGCAAGTCACCTGCCTCAGCCTCCCAGAGTGCTAGGATTACAGGCATGAGCCACTTCGCCTGGCCGGGAAATTATAGTTAATAACTTGTGTATTTCCTCTCCTAGACATCGGCCTAGGCAAAGAGTTTATGAAGGAGTCCCCAAAGGCAATCACAGCAGCAACAAAAATAAATAAATGGGACATGATCAAACTACAAAGCTTCTGCACAGCCAAAGAAATAGTCATGAAAGTAAACAGACAACCTACAGAATGGGAGAAAATTTTTGCATCATCTCTCTATATATTTTTAGTTGGTCAATTAATTTCTTTCTATTTTTATGGTAGAGACGGGGTCTCGCTCAGGCTGGTTTTGAACTCCTGACCTTGAGCAATCTGCCCGCCTCGGCCTCCCAGAGTGCTAGGATTACAGGCGTGAGCCACCACGCCCAGCCTTGATGAGCATTTTTTATAAGCATTAGCATACTGATTTTGAGTCACATGGTTCCTCAAGGTTATATAATTCTTTCAAGGGGATCGCTGTATATTACAGATGTGAAAAGAACATGTTAACAGAAAATCTGAACTGTATGAATGCTGATAAACAAGTTTTACTATAGTTTTGTTGTCAGCATATGATGAAAATGTATTTTTAAGTGGGCTACCAAGGCAAACTTTTCTCTTCCTACCCTTCTGCTACATGCCTTTTTGCTCTGATACATACATACTTACATTTATAAACATACATATAATATACATACATACCTTGTGCAATGTAATTATCTGTTGTGGTATCATCTGTAGTTTTAATAACTACACCATTTTCTTCTAAAGTAAAAACAAATGGGAAAGTAAAATACTTTAGAATGACATCAAACAATAATTCAAAGTTTAAATAAAAGTTTATGAAATTCCACCCACAGTGACTTTATGAATACACAAGAGATTATGTGGCCAAAGCAGGCTACATGAATTATATTTTTTTTAACTCTCTATAATAACAGCTTCTTCTAATTATGAAAATACTAGGATGTTAATAGGCTCACTCCTGTATCAGTAACTAGATAAAACTACAAAAGCCTATGTAGGTTTCTTTTAAGGAGAAAAAAAACTTAGCTTTAGTGAGTGATAAATATAAATCTAGTTTCTGTGTCTCAAAGACATTACCAAAATTTTTGGTCACATCACTCTTAGAATTACCTAAGGTTTCTCTTTCTAGAAAGCAGATGTAGAGTAATAAAATCACAAAAGACTTTTAGTTTTTTTTAATCTAGTAGAATTTAAAACAAAAAAAGGGAGATTATCTTAATAAAATCATATTAATTTCTGGCCTCTGAGTATAAACCTGAAGAAAACTATGCAATTAAAAAAAGCTGTTTTCATCCAAAACCAAGTAGGTTAAAAAAAGAAAAAGAAAAAAAAAAAAAAAAAAGCTGTTAACAACTAGATTATAATTAGATTCATCAGAGAGGATTTACTTAAAGCACACTATTATATTGCCTCTGATTATAACATCATATAAAGATTAAAAGGATACAGTATTTTTGATAACCAATTTATACACTAGTAAGCTAGGCTTCAATTTGTCACCTTGCTTGTTGAGATTTGAAGGTGCATGAATTGAAAACTGACTTTGAGGAGTACACTCTGATTCAAAGATTAATGTCTTTATTAGGGTTTGAATGTCATCTAAACCATGGTGAAGAGATTCAAACAGCATTCTTTTGAGGAATCCAGTATTGAAAAGGGAACTTGACCTGAAAAGAAAAGAATATATAGAGAATAATTGGGTTTGAGAAATGTTTATTTTCTTAAAAAAAAGTCTCCATAATTTAACCACAACTAAGATATATAATTCATTATAGGACAGAGTAACACTGAAATTTAAAAAGAATTTATGATTTAATTAAAACATTTTAATTTTCTATTTGCCTACTCCTTTTTATCATGTCAGTTTCTAAACTATTCAGATTAGTCAAGGAAATTGCATTCATGTTAAATTAGCAAGAATTCTCCTGCTATGTCATATGATGACCAAAAAAAAAAGAAATGAACAACAATTTATGGAGCCCTCATAAGGTGTGAATACAGTGGCACACAGGGGATGTGTAGAGGATATACCAAAATGTAAAATACAATGTTGACCCTATAAAAGCCTAATCCAGACAAGATCTCAACAGGAAAATAGTGTAATGCTGGGGTTTTCACAATGTACATTCCAGTCAGTAATAGCAAATATTAATTCTAGTGTGTCTATGGTGGTGGGTAGAGTGGGAGGAGACATATATGAAAATTACATCTGGTTCAAAAGTTGCCCAGGGGTGAATCTGATATGCTTCCCATTTGAGAATCACAGGTATAATGGAAAAAAATATGAAATTCTGAGTCAGATAAACCTGGATTCCAATCCTGGTTTTACTATTACCAGCTATATAATCTTGAGTAATTACTGCTTTTGAGTGACATATTCCTCATCATGAAATGGAAAATAAAGCTTCTCTAAAACACTTGCTAGGGGATTAAATGAAATAGCATATGTACAATGCCTATTACAAAGTATATCCTCAAAGAATGGTAGCTATTATTATTAATTATTAGGGTTAGCAAATATATATGAAAGGACATATGATTTTATTTTTATTTTTATTTTTTTTATTTATTTTTTTTAAGGCTGGTCAAGTGGAGCAGTGGGAGTGGAGAAGGAACAAAGGAATCTGTAACTGGTTGTGATCAATTAGTTGTAAACACCACTGCACTCGGACCAACCTTGATTTTAAAGTTTCAAAATGGGGGAATCAATGTAATGGGGGATCAATGTACTAAAGAGAATTTAGAAATTATTTTGGGTTGAAGCGCTAAAGAGACACTTCAAAAATGAAGTACAATTTGAATTGGGGGTGTGAGAGAGGGGGAAGGTATCTAGATGACAGTAAAGACATGAACAATAGCTTTGAGTAAGGAAATCTAATAAGGCATGACTAAGAACTCAGCCCTGAAAGTCAGCAAACCTAAGTTCTGGCCCTGACTATGCTAATAACTAATTTTCTTGGTCAGTTTTAGCAATCACTTAAAAACAATATGCTATAATTTCCTCATCTGTAAATCTCTTACAGATTACATATGCTCCCATCATACAAACCTATCTTTTCCCAAGCACCCTTTGCTAGGATTTCTCAGAGCTAGGTCAGCATCAGCAAATGTCCTCTCTGAGGGGTCAGGGCAATCATTTCAAGTTACCAGCAGCAATAAATGAAGAGGTAAAGAAGAAAGAAAAGTAGTATTTCTATATCACTGATATGTTGGGCTAGAAAATCTTCCTTCTGGAGCCAGCAACCTGTTATTCTTAATTTCCTCAGTTCTGACATCTGTGAGTAGGATCAATGTTATAGCAGATAATACAGGTAAGAGAGAACTAGAAGGTAAGGCTGACTAGGTCATTCTTAACCTAAGAGCATTTACATAGGATGAAGATAATATAATGGGCATCAGCAGAAACATAATTATCATTTGGGTCAATTTCTAGGCTTAATAGATGGCTAAGCCTTGATCTTGTAAAGTAGCGTGGAAGAAAGAAATTTGCAATAATTCTTGTCATAGTGCTGTTAGGAATCTCAAATTTCTACAAACATCTTCAGTAACAAACAAGCTTAAGGTAAGGATTTTGATTACAAACAATTTAACTTTAAGGCATTAAAAACACAGTAACTTTCCATTGTATACATATATCAAAAAAAAAAAAAAAAGAAAAAAGAAAAAAACCAAAACACAGTAACTTGTTACCAATGATACAGAAGCACACATATATCAAATATTTGCAGTTGTGTCCTAACCTAAACAGCTTCAACTAAAACAAAGGCAGATACTTTTACATGCCCTTCTCACTTAAAAATTAATTCCTCTAAGCCCTTTCATATTAGTTGTGTCATCTATAAAAAGTTATTGCAATTATTTTACAATCACATCTTAGCTCTACAAGGATCAAATGAAAAAAGTCTCTTTCTTACTATTTGGAAATGAATTATGTAGTTTGCAGAGCATTCAGACCTCTTTCACCCCACTGCCTTTTTAGCTTTGTCACAAACTAGGGTGCATAATGGTAGAGAAAAATTTGAAAATAAAAAACATCTCAGGTTCACAGGGGGAGAGTATTCATAAATATTTGCCTAGACTTTAAAATTGAATCTAAATTTGCTTGTCTTCTACCACATAGTCAAAAGTCAGCAATCAATATATACATCAATTTTGAATATGTTATTATGCTTAGGCACATACCAGAGAGGTCCAAGTTCTATTGCTGTCTTTCCAGGCATACTTCCGTGACAGTTACAGGGCAGTTGTCTATATGGGTTTTCTGCAAAAAGATAATAACAAGAGTAATGACCAAGGAGAAGTGACTAATATAAATAACAGATATTGTTATATTAATAACAATTTGCAGCTACTATACACGAGGATCTACTATTTGCCAGGTAGTACGCAATGTATTTTATACATATTTTAAAATTTAAATCCTTACAGCTCTCTAAAGTATTGCTAAAATCTCAGTTATACAGATCAGGGGATTAAAGCTTCAGAGAGATTGTGGAAATCCATGTCAAATGGCTTAGTAGAGGCATAACTGATATTAGGTTTTAGTTACTATACTACATGAAATAATGTAATAAGGAGAAAGTCTTGTGAAGTCCCAAAGACACCCATGTTTTAAAATTTACTGATTGGGGTATAATTTATGTGCAATAAAATATATACATTTTATGTAACCAACATCCCAATCAAAATATAGCCCCCCTCCCTTTTTTTTTCCAGACAGAGTCTCACTCTGTTGCCCCAGGTAGAGTACAGTGGCATCATGATAGCTCACAGCAACCTCCAAGTCTTGGGCTCAAGTGATCCTCTTGCCTCAGCCTCCTGAGTAGCTGAGACTACAAGCACATGCCATGAAGCCTGGCTAATTTTTCTGTTTTTAGTAGAGATGGAGTCTTACTCTTGCTCAGGCTGGTCTTGAACTCCTGAGCTAAAGCAACCCTTCCACCTTGGCCTCCCAGAGTGCTAGGATTATAGGCCTGAGCCATTGCACCCAGCTGATATTTCTTGTAAGTTAATTTTTCTGCACTTGGGAAGAAAATGAGTTATTTTATTATCTAGGCTTGATTTATATTCAGCCCCTCAAAATGTAGCCTAGAAGAATCTAATTCAGATTAAAGGGTAATGAAAGGCCTGATATAATCACAAGGAAATTGGGATAAGCACTAGCACTATTCTTAGTTTCCAAAATAGGGCAATATTCTACTATGGGACTTTTAAATTCATTCAAAGTATAAACAGCCATTTATTATTATTATTATTGTTATTATTATTTTTGAGATAGGGTCTTGCTCTGGTGCTAGTCTTGTAGTGGTGTCATCAGAGCTCACTGTAGCCCCCAACTCCTGGGCTCAAGTGACCCTCTTGCTTCAGCCTCTTGAGTAGCTGGGACTACAGGTATGCACCACTATGCATGGCTAATTTTTTATTTTTTGTAGAGACAAGGTCTCGCTATTGCAGGCTGGTCTCTGAATTCCCGGGCTCAAGTGATGCTCCTGCATCAGCCTCCCAAAGTGCTGGGATTAGGCATGAATCACTACACCCAACCCAAATAGGCATTTTAAATCAGAAACTCTCTAACTTCCCTGATTCCAGGCTATTCCTGAGTTGATGATTCACTTTCTTAGAATGGCCTGATCTGATCAATCACTCCTAGATAAATCCAGAACCGAGGATTATAGTGGCAGGAATATAAGTCTATTAGACTCTTGCTATCTGATAATATCACTGTATTATTTAAAGCAATTAAGTGGTATAATGCATAGTTGTAAGATCTTATTTTTTTTTTTTTTTTTTTTTTTTGAGACAGAGTCTCACTTTGTTGCCCGGGCTAGAGTGAGTGCCGTGGCGTCAGCCTAGCTCACAGCAACCTCAAACTCCTGGGCTCCAGTGATCCTTCTGCCTCAGCCTCCCAGGTAGCTGGGACTACAGGCATGTGCCACCATGCCTGGCTAATTTTTATATATATATATCAGTTGGCCAATTAATTTCTTTCTATTTATAGTAGAGACGGGGTCTCGCTCAGGCTGGTTTTGAACTCCTGACCTTGAGCAATCCGCCCGCCTCGGCCTCCCAAGAGCTAGGATTACAGGCGTGAGCCACAGCGCCCGGCCTTGTAAGATCTTATTTTAGATTTACTTAAAAGTGTCAATCGCTGTTTGCTCCTAGGCCTACTTTTCTGTATTATTAAACTCTAAGCCTTAATGGAAGGATGTGGTTATCATTGACATTAGCTTTGCTGAGAACTATATTCCTCAAACATTATGAATATACTAGAGAAGTCTTCTCTTGAATGGTTAAATAGCTAAACTACAAATACTTACAGGCAGTCACCATCCAACTCAAGACGGTGATTTATACTATGGTTCTGTTAGTTACACCCACTTACCACAGGCAGACAGCATACACATGAATTTATATTAGTCAGTTTGTGTCCTCATGTACTTTGAAAAATACAACCATCATACAAACCTGTCTTTTCCCAAGCCCATTTGCTAGGACTTCTCAGATCTAGGTCAGCATCAGCAAATTTCCTCTCTGAGAGGCCAGGGCTCTCTCATTTCAAGATACCATCAACAAAAAATAAAGAGGCAAAGAAGAAAGAGCATTTCCGTATCACTGGTATATAAACCAAGAAGGCAATTCCAGATGAGGAATTTAAAAATATTCTGAAACTTATATTTAAACACAATAGCTTAAATAAATACTTTATTTCTGCTGTTTCTTAAAGTTTAATTAAAATGAGAGCAAAGAATAAAAATTAAACCACAAGGATAAACAAAATGGGATGCGGGGTAACAAAAGTGAGAGATGCTAATAAAATTTTAGAAGTAGGAATCAGATACACAATGGGATAACAGATTTAACAGACCCCAAAAAGCTAAAGCTTAATCCTGAAATGGATAGATGGACAACCAACAAAATAGCAAGCCCATTAGTGCTGATGGACCATGAAAAACTCTTGAGAATTAAAGGTACTGATTATTTTTAAAGATGAGTATAGGGTGTATTACAAAAAAAGAGGCCTAGTTAAACATTTTTAAAGGACTCAATTAGGACTCACAGATCTTCTTCTATGATATACACCATCAGGCTTTTGTGTCTTCCCAACTCAAAAGATGAAGTTAATCTTTGGTGAGGCTGAACTATTGAGGACCTAGAACCAGAGGCTTTAGTCATAGGTGAGGAGATCCATGACAGCAGAGAGATTAGAAAAAAATCTGCATAAATGGTAAGACCTTGCAGTCTCTGTCCCTAATGTAGCTCTCCGAGAGCTGACAGAATATTGGTCAATTCCCCTCCAGAAAAATTTACCAATCTAAGAGAAAAGACCTATATGTGTATTCACATGTGGGGGTCTCCTAGTAAAAAAGCAGACTGTTTATCTATCAGTTTATAAGTCCGCTCCAAGTACTTCCAAAAACTTTTCAATGTGGACAACCAAAGACCACCAGACATTTGCTATTTACTATGACAGATAGAGAACAAAATTACAAAACAGAAAAAGAAATAGGAAACAGAAGAACTGAACATAAAAACAGTAACAATACAAAAATAAACAAATAAACAAAACCCCCTATCCTCCCCTAGATAGAAAATATACCAAGCTATCATTAATTCTTACAGAGGACTACCCTGAAACAAGAATAGGACAAAAAATGGAAAAATGAGAAAATATGAAGCAACTCTTAGGTATGAACAAAATATGCCAAATTTAAATAGAAAAATTCAAAAATAAAAATCAATAAAATATCCTATAAAGTAGAACTGTCAAAGAAATGAAAAGCAGAGATATTAAAAAAGAATCAGAGGATCAATCTAGAAGATCAAATATAACTAAAAGTAGTTTCTGAAAGAGTGAATAGATATAATTTGAGGAGAAAATTGTCAAAGAAATAATACAAACAAAATTTCTGAGTGCTGAAGAACTCAAGTTTCTGACTTAAAAGAAATGAATTTAAAAAGATGAATTCATACACATATTAGCATAAAATTATTTTATAATATTGGGTAAAGAAGAGATATTTTAAGAGCATTCAGAGAGAAAATAAAGGACTAGACAGAGAAACAACAGTAGACTTCTTTTTGGAGTCTAGAAGAAAATGGAATAATACCTTGAACATTCTGAGGAAAAACAATTTCCAACCTAGACTTCTATACTTGGCCATGCAATCCTTTTCAGGTATCTACAGGAAAAAGTGGTCACTCAAAATGAGGAAATAAACAAGCAAAGTAGAAAAATACATAGGATCCAAGATATGAAATTTATCACAAAAAGAAAGCCAAAGAAAATTTTCTAAATGATGGTTGTTCCCTTGGACAACAACTTGAAGCAAACCTAGAAAACAAACAACTCAAACTAGAACAGAAGGACTGTCTCAGGGGAGTGAAAATGGAATCCAAAGATGACCTCATGTGCTTAACTATACTGAAGGGAGCACTGAAATTGTAGCACAGAGTTTATGGATGGATTATAATAAGTACAAAAAAAGGTAACAAAAAAGCAAATTCCAGTGTTATCAAAGAGTTGTATAACAAAGGAAATATTATAGCATATGATATGGTTCATCTGTGTTACAGCAGCCTTCTAAGATGAGCAGCAATGATCCCTCTGTCTCCTGGTATTCATACCCTTGTGTAATCCCCTCCCCCTGAGTGAGCACTAGAGCCAGAGACAAATTTCTATCAAACTAGAATATGGCAAAAGTGATGGCATATTACCTAGAGATTAGGTTACAGAATACCTCTTTCTGTCTTGCTTATGTGTGCATGGGCGCTCTCTCTTGCTTGCTTTCTCTCTCTCTCTGGTTCTTGCTTGCTCCTTTTGATGAAGCAAGCTACCATGTTGTGAGCTGCTGTATGAAGAGGACTATATGACATGAAACTGAGGGCACCTCTAGAACAGCCAGTAAGGTCTTCAGTCTAAGAACCTACAAGAACCTGAATCCTGCAACAACCACAAAAGTGAGCTTGGAAGCAGACTCTTCCCCAGTAAAGCTTTGGGATGACTGCAGCCCTGGCCAACACCTTGATTTGTGGCCTGGTGAGACCCTGAGCTAGTTTACTCAGTTAAGTCATGCCTAGATTCTTCACTAACAGAAACTATAAGATAATAAATATTGTTTTAAGCCACTAAGTTGTGGAGTAATTTGTAAAGCAACAGATAATACAATTTATGATCAATATTTACATATTTATAAATATTAAACACTAAATATTGATTTAGTCAAATGTACAGAGGGGAAGACCATGCATGTGACTGGGTTG